GTGATTGTAGAGGAGGGATCTACAGACAAGGCTACTATGAGCGAGGAAATCACTGAAGCTGAGAAGGGACTGGCTCTTTCAGTTCTCTATAACAATGAAGAAAATCAAGAGAAGGAAGATGACATTCCTATAATCCAGCCTTTAAACTCTTTGCCGCCTGCAGATCCTGATACTTATCCAAAAGTCTCATTTGTCAGAAGATACTCAAGATTTGTGGATATGGAACCTATGACTGCTTTGGACAGGGCCACTTCAAGAGCTGCAATGAAAAATGTGGATATGGAACCTATGACTGCTTTGGACAGGGCCACTTCAAGAGCTGCAATGAAAAATATAAAAAACTCTATTCCAGAGGCTTCTTTTAGTGGTTCAGGTGAAAATTCCTCTTTTCTAGGATCTAATTTTGTTCCTATTCTTTTTGATTCTTATTCTAATAAGCAGCTGCAAAAAATTGCTTCTAAATGTGCTATTATACTTGAGCCTCAGGGAAATTTTGACCCTATAAAAAAAATGAGGCTGATGGAACAAGAAAGAGCTACCTCTGAGTAGACTCTAAGGTGTTTTGTGGAGTTTTGATGCTCTCTTATGTTAGTTACATGGAATGTTAGAGGTTTGGGTTTGAGTTCAAAAAGATTTGGAGTTAAGGATTTTTGCCAATTGAACAAATTTGAAATTATTTGTTTGCAAGAGACAAAAATTAGTTGTTTTACTGACAACATGTTAAAGAGTTTGGGTGGTAATGTATTTGACTGGATATATTTACCATCTATTGGGACCTCTGGTGGAATTATGATTGGATGGGATAATAATAAATGGAAGAAAATTGATGATGCTTTGGGTAAGTTTGTTCTGACAGTGAAGTTACAAAATAAAAAAAATAGTTTTGAATGGACTATATCTTCTGTATATGGTCCTCACTGTAATACAGAGAGAGCTCTTTTTTGGCAGGAGCTTAAAGAGATTAAAAATGCTTTTTTAGGTCCTTGGGTTGTGGTGGGAGATTTCAATGTAACCATTAATGCTGCGGAAAGAAAAGGAAGAACACATTATAGAAAAGAAATGGAGGAGTTTAAGGAAGTTATAAATGACTTGGAACTGATTGATAGTCCTTTACATGGAAGAAAATTTACTTGGACAAATAAGAGGAGTTCACCTGCTATGGCTAGACTTGACAGAGTTTTTTTCAACTCTGAGTGGGAAGATGTTTTTCCTTTATCAAGACAACAAGGCCTTAGTAGTCAATTATCAGATCATTCTCCTATTTGCTTTGATTTTGGAGATAATCAACAGCAAACTAAAATGTTCAGGTTTGAAAAAATATGGTTGCAATCTGATGATTTTATGAAAAGTGTTCCAATTTGGTGGAAGTGTGCTCCCAGGAATGATTCAGCTGCTAAAAACATTGTTTGTAAATTGAGATTTATGAGAAAATGTATCAAACAATGGGTACATTCAAAATTTTATAGTGTTAAACAAAAAAAAAAGATCTGTTGGATAATCTCTTAGAATGGGAAGTTATTGAAGAAGATAGAGATTTAGAGGATGATGAGTTGATTAGAAAAAATGACATTTCTCTTCAATTAAATGAGATTCTTATCCAAGAAGAACTAATGTGGAAGCAAAGATCCAAAGTTCACTGGCTTAAGGAAGGAGATAACAATACAACATATTTTCATAAAATTGCAAATGGAAGGAAGAGAAACAATTTGATTTCTTCAGTTTTTCATAATGATGTAGAAGTGACTTCAGAAAATGGGATTGCACAGATTTTTTCAAGTCATTATAAACAGATTTTTGGTCAAAATGTGTCTAATAGATGCCAATTGGATTGGAACTGTTTATTCCCTACAGTTGACTGGGGGCCTAATGACATTGAAATTCCTTTTTCTGAAGAGGAAGTCCATAAAGCCATTTTTGATATGAATGGAGATAAATCCCCTGGTCCTGATGGGTTTTCTGCTATGTTTTTCCAAGTCTTTTGGGAGATTGTGAAACCAGACATTATGAGGCTTTTTGAGGAGTTTTATGAAGGAAAACTTGAAATTAATAGAATCAGTTATGCCCATATTGTTCTTATTCCAAAAAAAAAATGAAGTTAGTTCAGTCAATGATTACAGACCTATTAGTCTTTTAAATGTGGTTTACAAGATTATTACTAAAGTCTTGACCAATAGGCTGAATGCAAAGCTTGAGTGGCTTATAGATCCAATGCAATCTGGTTTTATTAAAAACAGATTTTTACTTGATGGTGTAGTTGCAGCTCAAGAAATTATAGATGACTGTTTTCAGAATAACAAAAAGGGAGGTATTTTACTTAAATTGGATTTTGCAAAAGCTTATGATATGATAGACTGGAACTTCATTTTGGAAGTGTTAAGAGCTAAAAAATTTGGTGAAAAATGGATTAATTGGGTGAATATGTGCTTATATAAAGGCATGTCAGCTATCAAAATAAATGACAAACCTGGGAAATGGATTATGTCCAAAAGAGGTGTTAGACAAGGAGACCCTCTTTCTCCTTTGTTATTTGTGTTGGCTGCTGATACATTTACTAGAATGTTATCTTTAGCAGCTGAATCTCAACTCATTGAAGGATTAGGTCCAGTTAATATGGATCACAAGGTTTTCTGTTTACAGGATGCAGATGATACCTTGATTTTTTGCAAGAATAACAAAGAGCAATTAACAGTTTTGAAGCTGATTTTATATTGCTTTGAACTTGTTTCAGGTTTAAAAATAAATTTTAATAAGAGTGTTCTTATAGCTCTTGAGAATAATGAAGATTTACAACAGAATCTGGCCACCATGTTGAATTGTAAATGTGGAAAATTTCCTATTACTTATCTAGGTGTACCTTTAAGGCCTGGAAAATTAAAAAAAGATGATTGGTCTCCTTTAATTGAGAAAATAGAAAGAAGATTAGCATTATGGAAAGGGAAGACTTTATCAAGGGGAGGTAGACTAGTTTTAGTTAACTCTGTCCTTTCCTCTATGCCACTTTTTTGGCTTTCTTTCTTCTTATTCCCTTCTTGGATCATTGAGAAAATTGATAAATTGAGAAGAAGATTTCTATGGACTGGATCTTTGGATCATAAAGGTTTTACTAATTTGGTAAAATGGGAAGAGGTTTGTAAACCTAAGCACTGTGGTGGATTGGGGATTATCAATTTGAGAATAATGAATAAAGCTTTGTTAGGAAAATGGATTTGGAAATGGTTTGATGGAAAACCTAATTTGTGGAAACAAATTAGTTTTTACAAATACTTTGAAAAAAAATGGTCTGAGTACTTTTACTCTAGAAGAGTTTATTTATCTCATTTTTGGAGGAATTTTTTTACTAATGTGGAAAGCTTTCTATGCAGTTCTCAAGTGGAGGTTGGAGAAGGAAATCAAACTTTATTTTGGCTTGATAAATGGTTAGATTCACATACTCTTGCAGCTATATATCCATCCTTATATGCTAACACAGCTTATCCTTTTGCTACTGTGAGTAATTTGAGGAAAAAAGAAAATGGTGTTTGGAGTTGGGATTTGCATTTTAAAAGACAACTAACTGGGACTTTAGTGTCAC